ATAAATAAATAAATAAATAAAAGCTGGAGAAAGAAAACCAGATCATCCACAGACATTTACTCGCTCTCAGATAGAAATCTTCAAAACTGCAACTACACATCCAGAACTGTATTTATAATCTAAGTATGATTCAAAAGAGAAATAAAATAAAATAAATGAAGGCTATGAAAGTTTATTACAAATAGGATCTCACCAAAAAAAAAAATCTGTAAAGGCTACATTTCAGGCAAGTCATAGGTAAGCACACACACAGAGACAAGGACATACACACCAGTAAATGCACACACACAATCTGGTATAGCGTAGGAAACACCACTCCTCACACTGAAAAGAAATGGCATGTGTGGTTAACACGAATGCAAAGTGCATCTCAAACAATGAAGCGCGTGATTATACTGAAAACATTCCATGAACGTTCTGCACTTCAAAAGGGAAGTAAAAGGACTAACTTTGCTGCCCGATATGTTTACAATCATGTTAAAATTGGAAGGGTAAATGCTAATGGAATAGAAACCAATGATATAAGTGGAAAGGAGAAAATGAAATCTGGAATTCAGTCCCAAAGAGGGCAGGAAAGAAGAGGGAAAGCAAGCAATCAAGACAGCATAAGACGATGACAGAAACACATTTATTGACACGATCACGTCAATAAATGTAAAGCAGACTAAACTTAGCTTTATGTTTAGACAAAAGCCAAACAGTGTAAGACAATCCCCACCCCTCTGTGCTTTACGCAAGCAACATACCTAACCATAAAGACAGAAGACTACAAGTGAAGGAAAAAACACATCAGGCAGACATAAAGAAAGCTCTACAAATAGCAGACAAAACAGATTTATTTAGGATATAAAAGATGTGAACATCAGGCATTATTAATCTTGTCCCATCAATGTATTTCAAACTCTGTTCACAAGTATTTGTGAATGTGTATTTTTCTCAAGAATTAGCAAATTATGCAAACAGGTCACATATTGGCCTAGGAAATAAGACTCAACAAATGCCAGACAATGTGTATTGGTACAGTTCACACGAGCAGCATTTTGGGTGCGGGGGTTGGGGACTAAGTGTGTTATGAAAGAGCAAAAGTAACAGAAAAGACAGTTTCAGACAAGAAAACAAGATAGAGGGACTTTCCCCACTGCTTATCAAAATGTATTATAAAGTTGCAGTAATATAAAGCAGGGCAAAGTTAGCAAAGCGACAGAGTGACAGGCTAACAGAACAGAGAGTCCAGAAACAGCTCCTTCCGTATATAGAAGCGTGATACACAGCAGATGTGCCACTGTGGCACAGGAAAAGGCATGGCATATTTGATAAAGGGACAAAGACAGTAGATTGCCCTCCTGGAAAAATACAAAGCTGGGCCTTAACTCATATCATTCACAAAAATCAGTGAGAGGGAGGTATAAACCAGAAGGTAAACAGCCCATACTATAACTCTGTTAGATGAAAGTAGAGAAGGTTCTGTTTGCTACCTAACAACAGAGGGTTCCTTTTATATCTTATTCCAAAATATAAAAATGTATGACCCATAGAAGATACCAAATCAGATTTTACCAAAATAAAAACTTTTCTTTGTCAAAAAGCACCAAACAGCAATCAGACATGTTATAACTTGAGAAAAGTTAGCTTCTACACACAACTGGCAAAATATTTATATGGAGAATTTAAAGAATTCCTGCCAGTGGTTCATTGTAGATATATCTGACTCCAAAGCATACTTTTGTTTTTGCACCTGTAGGCCATGTCCTTGGCCATAGGGGAAGGAAAATACTAATAATTAGAAGAGAAAGG